GCATCGGTTCTTGGAGTCGACGACTTCCTAGTGGCCTTTTTCGCAGGACGTGGCTTCGCGCACAACCAGAAGAACCCGACTGAAGGAACCGCACTACCTGTTATCATCGACTTGCTGATCAATTCGGCCTTCTTCATCTTCTTCGGCGCAATGATACCCTGGGCGAGCTTCAACGCGGTGGACGGAATTACCCCTCTCCGATTGGTTGCTTTACTCGCACTCATCCTCCTCTTCCGCAGGATTCCGATCGTTTTCACGCTTTTCAAGACGAAGATGTTGCCATCCGTAAAGACTACAACCGAAGCCCTCTTTGTCGGACATTTTGGACCAATGGGTGTCGGTGCCCTCTTCCTAGCCATCGAAGCCCGTGCGCAGCTCGAGACTGGTACATCCCTGCCACTTCCACATCCGCCTAAGGATCTGCCAGTGGAGCGGCAACGGACAGCTACTATGGTCTGGCCCCTTGTTTGCTTCATCGTGCTCGGAAGTACCATGATCCATGGTTTTAGTACTCTGGCTGTCAGCATAGGAGGCCATCTCGCGCGTCACGAGGGCGAGAGGGCTCCTTTGATTGGGGCTGAAACGGAGGGACTACATGGCATGGTTCATAACGACAGTGAGGCTGAGGACGAACAGGAATAGTACAATGTTGTGCTCGGATGAAGATCGTTTGGCATGGGATGAACGTTGGAGCTTGGTCTGGTCTGAGCTTGGGCGCCAGCACGACACTGAGAAGAACTTCAGTCAGATGACGACTACACGTCACCATTGGACTGTTGTCTCTGAGGCTAAGGTCTTCCTACTTCACAGTGTCTGGACGAATACATGGAGTACGATATACGCCAACAATGTCGTTCTACTCACAGTGCGCGCAAGAAATGTAGATGCTTACCTTGAGTATATATGATAAATCGAATACAGTCAGTCCCAGACCAGAATCTGGCCTAACAACCATGTCAACTGAGGTTTGTACAAGTCTAGGGCCGTCTGCTTCGCCGGATCTCGCTAACAGCTCAGCATCAAATGTTGCGCCTGGGATTAAGTATGATGTTGCCTGCCCGTCCCCAACACCAGATATCAACAGCTCTCCCACCATAACATCAGACGGCCTCGCTAACCTCACCCCTCTCCCCACCCAGTCGCCAAACGAGATCCAAGACCTCGATCCAAACTACCCAAATTACCGCGCAACGATCCACTACTACAGCCTCTCCCCCAGCGGCGCACTAACCCAAGAAACTCACCCCAACTCCGTATCCCGTACATCCGTGCTACTCTCCTTAGAATACTTCTACACCCTCCGCAAACACCTCACTGCTAGCCTATCCATCTTATCGACCCATCCCGATACAGCCCTTGCCGAAACCCACGAGAGTAGTAGTAGTAGTAGACGGTCGGCTACGCTAACGCCGTTGGAAAGGGCACAAAACGAGTTTTCCATGCACCACATCGCCATCAACGAGAATCTGCGCGCTGTGAATAGTGATTGGGGCTGTCACGCGTTTGGCTTACCGGATCCGCTGGCCGCGGCGAGTGATGTTAGACGTGATAGGAACTTTTTTGCGCATAGTTTTCCCACGCCGGGCGGGAAGGGGGTTCAGTTCGTGTGGGCAGTGGAAGGGAAGAGGGGGGTTTATGGGAGGTTACTGGGGTTGGTGGAGGGCGGGATTTGTGGGCTGCAGGGGCAGCTGGATGATCCGGGGATTTGGGTTTCGCCGCAGGTTATAGAAAAGGAGAGACTCGAGAGGGAGGCGCGGGAAGAGGACGAGAGGCTGGATACGGAGGGTGTGGAGCGAGACGACGATGAAGATTGTGTGGTGGAGCAGGAAGACGATGTGGAGTGCATGGAGCCGACACAGTCGACGTTCTCGCGTGTCTTCGACAGCCTAGGCGGTAATGTGGTCTTCCGGTATTGCTTTCGTTTCGGGATCGTGCGTAGAGCTGGGTGGATGTTGTTCGATTGGATGGGTGAAATACTATCGGAGGCTGACGCTGTCGCTCTACGCAGGGCTGAAGAAGGGGCGTCTGAGGAGTGTGGAGAAGGAGATGACTGGGGGAGTCAGGAGGATGAGATTGGAGATGACAGTTGTGGGAGTCAAGAGTACAGGATCGAGGACGGCGACTGCAGGAGTCAAGAGTACGAGGTTGGAGATGACGAGTGCCATGGAAGTCGTACTCTAGACGCGCATCCGCCACAGCCAGATAGTGGTTGGGGTGACCCGCAATGGTAGGAGCGAGGTGGCTCGAGAGTGCGGGGAAGAGCACGACTGGAGTAGACAGGAGTACAAGATCAAACATTACGAGTGATTTGAGAGTCCAATTACGGATGCGCATCGGTCACAGCCAGATAGTGGTTGGGGTGACCCGCAATGGTAGGAGCGAAGTGGTTCGAGCGCGTCCTCCAACTCTCCGCCAACACTGAGCTCAGGTCCTTGTGAGCGCACGCATGAAATTGCACGCAGCTTACAGGTGGCAGAAGAAAGGCACGCTTAGTCTGCCATGGTTATTGTGGTATCCTGCGCCCAAAGAGCCCTTTTGGTATCAGTCAACAGCGTGACTGGCACTTCCCGCTTGGGCTATAGCCATGTTACTCAGATGGTCCTTTACCAAGACCCAGTCACAGTCACTCCTTTACTCGCTTCGTAGATCTCGTCACTCACGCCTGATGATATTTGACTCAGGCGCAGTATAAAAGCTGCTTTCAATATGCGTACACACGACTTCATTGTGCAATACATTGAAAGACGAGAAACGAGCACCTCAACACCAGACACCAGACTCCCTGATCTTAAAAGATTCTAAGGTCTCAATCCTACCCGAAATGGCCGTCCTCACCCGCATCCAAGTCCTCGCTATCCTCGGCGTCCTCCAGACCAATCCCAATACCACAGTTGACTTTAACGATATCATAAACGCTATCGACGCTTCTGCACCAAACAGTCACTTATTACATTTCGATCAGATCCAAGGCGGCCGTCACCACGGCCGCTACAAGCTCAGTACCCAATCGGGCTTTCACACTATGGTCGGTGCGTACAAACAGAAGCTCATAAACGGCTTCGGTTCTGCGCATACGATGCGTGTCCGACCCAGCGCGACTGGCAAAAGCTGACTATTATCGATTCTGTAGGCTATTACAGGGATAACTGGCGTAGTTTCTGGATTGGGCTGCATGATGTCCCAATTCCGTATTATCTGGGCAACGTACATACCCCAGATCCGCCTCAAAGGGTGACTACCGCGGCGCCTACCTCTGCGTCTACTTCGGCGCCTGCCACGACGTCCACCTCTGCGCCTACCTCCGCGCCTCCCTAGACGAATCGTGCGGTCAAAGACCCGGAGTTGGGAGGGCAAACGGCTCGACTATCTTACTGTTACGGATTGTGGGCAGAATAGATATGGTGATGGGATGAATCTTTCCTTTCTCATGATGGACTGGTAATTGGGCTATAACAGAGTGGTGGAGTCTACTCTCATTCAATACCAAACATGACTCACACAAACGACAATCTTTTGCGCAGTGAGTGATTCTTGCTCATTTCTGAATACCACTCATTCAATTTTGTCAACAGACTCATCAGGGGTGAGAAGACGCAATTCGTGAACTTGAAGAAAGTACACACCTTTTCGATCACGCGCTAATTTGTTGCTATTGTCAAGACATGACTGTCTATTCTAGCCAGGCGTATAGCCGCACTGCTCATAATCCTTCTTCCACAAGACTTGGCCACGTGCAGTCACTCTCTCACTCACCTCGAATTCCCACATATCCACTCTTGAGACATATCCCTCCCTCCCAGTATATAAACAAGCCATGAGGAACCATGTATCCCCCTTCCATAAACACCACACTTTTGAGAACGAGAAACACAGATCAACATCATCAAATCTCTTCCCACCTTTACAGCAAACCTAAGCATACAAATCCCAACAACAATGCCAAACATCGCTTCAGATCTGATCCCCACCAAGGCCGGCCATCTCCCCGGAATCCTCACTTTCCTCAAGTCCGGTAATCAGGTTACCTTGACCGACATCAGGACCATGTTCGACCAAGTCCACCCTGGCAGCGCCGCGGATCACTTCGAGCCCTACGAAGGCGGTTACAAGCTCACTCCTCGTTCGGGCTTCGTCAATCTTATCGGTAAGTATCTATCTGGGCTGGAATAAAATGTTGATTCTGCATGAATTTCACATTACTTGGAATGCGTGTCTGAACGAGACTGACCGTGAGCTTTATCATCACCAACAGGCCACCTCAGGGACGAATGGCCAGAGTTTTGGGTTCAGATGCGCGAAAAGCCCATCCCGGAGAACTTGAGCAACATGCAAGGACCGCCTGTTCAGTAGATGTCTTCCCACCCAGGTGGATATATGGTACGGTCGAAGACGGAATATGACAAGGAAAGGGGAGCGAGACGGTTACTTTGACGGGACGTCGCAATATCCAACACAGCTGGAGCTAGTGGTTATCGTCCGGCTGGCTTTTGATGCATGTATTCACAGGTTTTGTATGCAGTAAAGTCTGCACTCCTAAAGTAGACATTCGATAAGAAATAAACCGTTTGCACTAGTAGCCTCCTCGCTACGCGATAAGTGAATGTAAGTCTAATGATTATCTGATGTATATAACAGAATAATTACAACCATAATGTGAGTGTCTTGTTGATCTTACAGTCTTGCAAAGATGTTGATAGGTGGCTCCTTACCTCCGGGGTGTTGTGCCCGATGACCTAATGTGCGCCAACCCCACTTCGCACATGGCTGCGCGCGCATCCTCCCACCACACCATCGCAGCGTATCTAGGCAAATAGAGCTTTCAGTCATCTTAGTGTTGTATCCAGTGTCCAAGTTCTTGTTGGCCAAGGTTGAGCAGGTTGGTACAATCAATGGATCTCCTTAGCATCGGCTCAGCCACCATGAGTTTGGGATCATGTGTTGCGAGGCTGTATTGCTGCCTTGAGGTTGATAGGTAGTATTGATCTTGAGCACACCATCACATGGAAATCCTATTCTCAGAGCGTAAGCGCTAGTCAGAGAACAAGTCTTCGATAGTGGCTTTTGATGGAATCCGTTTCTTATTCACTTCTTTCCTCTCTTTACCGCGCTTAGACATACGAGCTTCTCGCCCTCTTTTAGTTTCCTGCTCATCTTCTATGTAAGTTGGTAGTGCAGCTAGGTTTTTTATTAACAACTACTCACATCCTAACAGCATCAGACCAACTCGTCCAGTGATTGCCATGACACTACCGACTGGTCTCGTCGCTGAAAGCGAGATGAAGAGAATACGCGAATGCGCAACAGAAAACGAAACCCTAGCTCGCTGCTGGGACAAACCGCATGTCGCTCTGGTATCAATGGAGTGGGCTCCGTCTGGTCTGGCCTATTGCTGGAACGGCTGGATATCCTGTAACGAGGCGAGGGGCTACTGGAAGCAAGTAGAAGCGATGCGAGTCTTGTCTGTGGAAATCACCACCCCAGCATCCCCAGCAGTATCGAGCACTGAGGACCAAAGCGACGATGGACAGAACAAAGCGCACGAGTACCGATTCTGGGTACCGCCCAAATGGAACGGGAGACCAAACGTTCCCCAATCCAGCTTTGTATCGACCAATAAGGCCGTCGCGGGTCTCGAAAAGATGTTCCGTGACTTGTCATCAACGTATCCGACAATCTGCGTCTGTTTCCATCGACCGACTTTGACACGGCAGGGTCTAGCCGACATTGGATTCAAGCTACCAAAAGGCACCATTCTTGTCGACATGATCAAGGTACTAGAGTACCAGTCTAGATTTCGAGACATGCCTCCAAAGGTCAAACGCTACATCAATAGTTGCCTGAATGTTGACATGCGCGACGGGGTACGTTTTGGAGAGAGATTCGACGCAAGCGACAGTGACGCACTTGCATCCGACTTCAATAAACACGCGCCAAAATATGGCCAAACCGACGAGTGGCGTGAGATCATCCGTAAGAAAGAAGACCTTCCGGCTGGTACTTTGTTGAAGATTCTTGGGCCCGAGGCAGAAGCCCACCTGCGGCAGATTAAAAAGATAGAGAAGATGTACACACTAGAGAGGGATGGGCGCTGGGAAATCGACGAGGCAAAGCAAGCAAAGGAGGATTACCAGAAGCAGCTTGCTATGCTACGCCAACAGACAATTGAGTAGCTCTGAGATCCAGAGCTTCACGAGGAGGGGCCATCACGTAAGTTCTGATGCGAGAGAGTTGCTGGACTCGAATAGGTGTGAGATGGAGATGTGACACTTCCAAGGTTTTTCTCGCCTCAGGTGGGGCCGAAGTCGTTGATTGGCCGGCTTTACGCGCAGTCAGGGGCCGACGCCAACATCTTGAGAGAAGTTGCCCGGTGCTACCTTTACATCACTTCTCTGTCTTTCGCGCTCGAGCCCGAGGGGTCTTTTCGCGAGGGTACTTTGGTTGTGTACATTGGGGGGGAGATATTCGGTAACGGTGGTTACCTTTACATCACTTTGTGATATCAGCAAGTCGCTGATTAGCCAGCTATACGCTTCCACCATTCAATTCATCTCACTACAAATGATGTGTGTTCGACGCGTGACACAGCCTGATGCTAAGCCGACAGCGAAGTTCAGTGTCGGCCTGATTATTTGCTAGCGAAATCTAGATTTACGAAACCAAACAGTACAGGACCTTGAACTTGTGACTGCTGCTCGTCCCCCAGGCACTTCAAGGAGCGCATTTACTCCCACACAGAACCGGCCAACACTCAGAACAATCAGGGTCCGGCTCCGGCTCGTCCTTGTGGTTCTCGCAATCCGCGCTCTTGTATTCGACAACACGCTCGTAAATCATGTGTTCGGGCCCTTGGTTCTCTGCACAATCGCATCCATCTTCGTTCGAATTGCCACCGCAGTCTTGTTCATAATGGTCAAGAGCTTTCTGATCGTCAATCAATGCGACGACGTATATGCGCTCTCTCGTATCCGCATTGAACTCTTGATACAGCACCATGTTGACGAACGGCTTGTTGATGATGGAGAATGAGTCGCTACCGTCGTGGGCAGATTGAAGGTTTTCGAAGGCGGTGCGACCGATCTGGATCTCGGGGTGTGCTGATAGGAAAGCATCCAGTTTTGAGGGTTGGCTCTCCTGGGTTGGAGCGACAGCCATCGTGGGTTCCGATCGTTGGGTGTCGGTCATGTTTTGAGATGAAGATATGGCGATAGTTGTATGCTTGGTCAGGGCGGTATTGTGAGAGTAGGTTCACTGGAACGAGCAAAACACCTAGTCGGTAAGAGTCACCTATTCAACGCTGAACGCCTCGCCTTCTCTTTCGGAAGCTCGGTTAGCTCTGCGACCTGGAGCCTAACGCGCATGCTTTTGCTTCGCCCTGCGGATGTACCTAGTCACATAATTCGGACTCAGCCAAATTGTACACCGTTTCGATACTTTCAGGGTTTTACGGCCAAAGGAAGGTAGCTCGGCTTCATGCGGACGTTGGTGGGCTTGGAGAGGTCAGCGCTAGTCCTGTTATAGCAGTGGTGGCTCAATGATGTTGCTGCCTGCGCGAGCGTAACTGTAGCCAATCGTTGGTCTCCTGCATGGCCGAGATCAATGTCTTTAGCAACGCGAGGACCGACATACAGTATGCATCACATATAAGCACTCAGGGAATACTAATTCTTTGTATTGCTCATATTCAACCCCTTCTGCTACTACCAAACTCACCATCATCATGGTATTCATTCCGCCTCCCTTCAATGTCACATGCCTCACAGCATATCTTCTGGCTCCGTTGAACGACAACGAGCTCGCAAAAGTCAAGGCAGAATTTGAACTCGGCGCCTGCTCTCGATTCCAGCCATTGCTCGAGCTCAAGATCATAAGACCTCCCGATGATTATATCGGCAAATCCCATCAATATATGCGCGCCAAAGAAAACGAAGCAGGCCGAGAATCCCCATTCGTCGTCATTGACGAAAACGCAGTGAAGAGGGGTGCAGTCTGGTACGTGGATGCCTTTGCCGACGACGAAATGGTGGAAGAGGGACAAGCAGAAAGTACACAAGTGGTCGTGAAGCTCCTTGTGAAGACGGAATGCCTGGCTCTGACGTACATCAACTACGAGATTGCCAATATCGACATCGACGAGGATCTGGACAATGCTGAAGTGGAGCGACCGCTGAAGAACGATTTCTTCCAGCCGTTGGTATCGGATTGTGGTGGAATGGATATGAGAGAGCAACAGCGTGATCAAGACGTGGAGGTGACGGCTGAACCAGGAGAGTCTGAGGAGACTAGGGAGAAAGCTTTGCTGGAGAACTTCTCTCCCCAGCCAGATAAACTCGGGAAGCTCAAAGATGAGATTGCGCGGGCTGCTGGTCTACTCGCAGCGTGGACTTTTTTTGATGAGGCGCAGCTCGTGGATATGTCTGATGGCTCACAGAAGACGTTTCCGGCGGGAAGTGTTGTACTTCAGCAAAAGTACGATCCAGATTTCCCGTGGCCGGAGTACAAGTGGCCAGAGGGAACATTGTAGCCGCATATGGCGACAGATTTGGACATGAGTTGTCTCCGATTAAATGACTAGCTGGTGATTAGCTGTGAACCAAAAACACCAAACCAGACCATGATTAGAAAATGGCGTCTTCAAAAGTGGGCTCTAACAACGAAATACCACCCACGCACAGCAACCTCCCCGCCGTCTGATAAGTGAACACGAGCCGGATAATTTTCCGACATACACAACAAACAAACAGCGACATAGATACGATTATCTCGTCGATCCGATAAATACTGACAAAGCCATGTACATACCTAGGTACCTTCCTGATCGAGACTAGTCGCAAACGTACCACCACTTATCCCCGCGCAACACCCGATAACCAAGACACACCAAGACTCTAACCATCAACCAAGCATCAGCATGGCGGGCAAGAATTGGGGAAAGCAGACGCCTGTTCCAGTTCCGTCGAAGCAGTATAGTCGCTCTTACTACCGTCAATTCGTTGGAAGCGCGTTGTTTTGCTTAGCGGGTTTGGCTTTCTTACGTCATGTCACCTTTCCTGTATCATCGCCATGGCAGCTTCCATCCCGTGCAGGCGATGCCGGTTCGAAAGCGCAATGTCCGCAGGTCGAACCCCTGTTCCCAACGAGGAAGACGAAAGAGTTGGATGAGATGGAGAGTTACCTGACGTCCGATGCTTTCCGAGACGTCGCCATCGAGCGCCTATCAGGCGCCGTCAAGATCCCCACGCAAAGCTACGACGACATGGGCGAGATTGGATCGGATCCGCGCTGGGACATTATGTACTCTTTTGCCGACTACCTTGAGAAGACTTTCCCGTTGACGCACGCGACATTGCAGCTGGACAAGGTTAATACGCATGGCTTGCTGTATACGTGGGCTGGCACGGATGCGAGCTTGAAGCCTAATCTGCTCATGGCGCATCAGGACGTTGTGCCTGTTCCGGATTCTACGGTCAAGCAATGGACGTATCCCCCGTTTTCTGGTCATTACGATGGGAAGTTTGTTTGGGGTAGGGGTGCAAGTGATTGCAAGAACCAGTTGTTGGCTATTTTGAACAGCGTTGAGGCGTTGATTTCTGCTGGGTTTACTCCTCAGCGGACATTGATCTTGTCGTTTGGCTTCGATGAGGAGATCTCTGGTCGAGAAGGCGCAGGACATCTCTCAGAGTACCTATTAAAGAAGCTCGGCCACAACTCCATCGCCGCCATCATCGACGAAGGCGCCGTAAACGTCGAAAGCTGGGGCGCAAACTTCGCCATCCCCGGTGTCGCCGAGAAAGGCTACGTCGACGTCGACATCGTGGTGCGCATGCCCGGCGGCCACAGCAGTATCCCACCCGCACACAATGGCATCGGCGTAGCCAGCGAGCTCATCACCCTAATCGAAGCAAACGCCTACGAGCCCCATCTCGCAGACGAGAACCCATACCTGGGCCTCCTCCAATGCGGCGCCTCCCACGCGCCAGACTTCCCGCACCACCTCGGCAAACTCCTAGACAAGCGCTCCAAACGCAGTCTAACATGCTCCAAGAAGTCCTCAAAAGATGCCCTGGCGCTCGAAGCAGCAAAAGCAGGCCCCGGCATAAAATACCTCTTCACAACCTCCGTAGCCGTCGACATAATCCACGGCGGCGTAAAAACAAACGCCCTGCCCGAGCGAACCCAAATCACAGTAAACCACCGCATAAACGTCGGTTCCAGCTCCTCAGCCGTGAAGACGCACATCGCGTCCCTCGCCGCCCAAGTAGCCCAAAAACACAACCTCACCCTCCACGCCTTCAACGGCACCGAGACACCCTCGAGCATAACGCTCTCCCACGGCCCCACCATGCTAGAACCCGCGCCCGTAACACCCACATCCTTGAAATCAATCTCACACTCCAACAAAACCGCAACGCCCTACCAGATCCTGTCCGGCACAACCCGTGCCCTTTACGGCAAAGATTTGCTTGTGAGCCCTGGTATCATGACTGGAAACACGGATACGCGCTACTATTGGGATTTGAGCGAGAATATCTTTCGGTATGGACCTGGTTGGGATAGGGAGCAGGTTGGGCTGGGCAATATTCATACGGTGGATGAGAGGGTGGGGGTGCAGGCGCATTTGGATACGGTCATGTGGATGTGGGGGTGGATTAGGAATATGGATGAGGCGGTTTTGTGAGGATATTCGGTGGTAGTTCTGGAGAAATGGGAGATGAGAGATAGATGGGGATGGTTGGAAGGGGGTTGGAATGGCTTGTACTGAGATAGCAGTAAGGAATAGTAGTGGCAAGAGCACGAAGTCAACAGTTTGATACCCTCACGCCTTTGAGACAGAGAGCATCGGTAAATGTGTTTGATTGAAAAGATCCATTCTTTCATCAAAAGCTCTATACATTATGGTATAAATGTGGAACAAGGATGTACCACTCTCGACAGATACCTTCCGAAAGCGGTCCAAGTATCTTCCGAGAGTGGTACAGTCTCATTCACACCTATACCATAATGAACACCGCTTCGATGAACATGATGATAATTTTGTCTCTCTCTCTCTCTCCCTCTCCTCTTCCAACAGCAGCTATGCTACGTTCTCGTCTTCTGCCATGAAATGCTCAGCTGGACCCAACGCCAAAAGTGTATGTACACGCAACAAAGCGCTCATAAGACGCATCTAGCA